CCTCTCCCTGTCCTCCCCCTGTTCCTCCCTCTTCCCCCCCCGCCCTCCAGGAACCCGTCGAGGCGCCGGTCGATTCGCCCGGCCGAACGCAAGGGGCACCGAGCGCACACACGCACAGGAGCCCCGGCCTCGCCATGTCGGAATTACCTCAGCAGCCGCCCCTGGCCCGGCGGTGGCCGTGTTGTCGTTCATCGCGCGGGCATGCCCGCCCGGCCGGAGCCCCACAGAGCGTCCCCTCGGGGGGCACCCGGCAGGGGGGGGGGGGGAGGAGGGGGCGCACCCCTGCACCCCATACCTGGGAGAGGCCCGCGCCAGAGCGCCCTTGGCGCGCGCTTTGCTAGGCAGCCAATCGCCTGGCCGACGGCTTCGTTGGCATCTGGCCTCCGAAGCCGGCCCCAACCCCTGCCTTTGTTCGTGGGGGCACCCGGCGGGCGGGCGGGGGGGGCAATTGCCTGCCACCACCATCACCTCCGCTCCGGGCTGCCAGACACACCACTCCCGAAAGATTGAGCCACAAAGAGAGAGGAAGAGGCTGAGAGAAAGAGAAACAGCGGGAGAGAGAGAGAGAGAGAGAGAGAGACCCATCCATTTAGAGAGAGATCGTGGGCAAACATCGGGGCAGGGTCTCCGCATCTGCCACCCGGCCTGTGCCCCTGCAGGGGGACAAGCAGGGGGCCGATGGCCTCCGCCCTCGGGCCGCGGGGCGAGGGGCCACGGGCGGTCTCTGGTACGTCTGTCGTAAGCAGTCTACCGCGGCCCCGGTCTGGCAAGACGTCGATGGCCCCGGAGCCAGCCGCGCCGGGGGGGGGGGGGGGATCTGGAGCCCGCCTCCAGCTCTACACGTGCGCAATTTGCTCGAAATCCAGGCGGCTCCTGGCTCACGCGCAGGGTGATGACCAAACACAGCAGCCAGCATCGCCAAGAGAGCCGGGCCCCGCAGCCAACATCCCCGAGCGCCGGGAACGGCACGCACCGGCACGGGGGCTGAAAAAGGGGGAGCGGCTCCCACCCCCCGCCGGACGGGGAACACAACGTCGTTCATGGCACCGGTGGTGGGTGGCTCTGGGTGGGGCGGGGGAAGGGCAGAAAGAAAAGGAAAGAGAACACACGGCACACGGCGGGGCCCCGGCGCAGGCAATAGCGGCAACCGTAGAGGCGCACTTGGCAAGGACAGGCAGAGAGAGAGAGAGAGAGAGAGAGATGGAGGGAGAGATGGAGGGAGAGATGGAGGGAGAGATGGAGGGAGAGAGAGGGAAACCCATGTATTAGGATGCATGGCTGCCGCTCGAGGGCGCCGGGGCCGCCGGCTTGCGCCGCCAGATCTGGAAATAGTTCTCGTGCAAGAAGAGGGACTTTTTGTCGGCCGGCCGGACG